TCCTACGACCACTATAATCACCCAGACCACTTCATTCGGCTCAATGAAATGGTCTGGGTGCCGGGTCCCACAGGTTTTAACCCTGCAGCTGTAAACTGCTATGTTTACACTAGGGTTAATCCAACCTCTAGTAGCTGTCTCGCTGACAGCTTCCGTGCTTCTCTCTGTGAAAATCATAGTGAGAAGACGCTGGACGTCCAGAGGAAAGCATTAAGAAATGCTTTCCTACGTGCGGTTTGAATGCGCGGGCGGCTTTTGCCGCGCATGCTCGTTCAGCGCTGACGTCGGGAGGAGGAGTAGAGTTTCTCAGCACCGAGGGAGCCCGGCACTGGAGAAACGTGAGCGTTTAACCCCTTGAGCCCAGCGGGAGTGGGAGGAACCTAAAGACCCTATAACGCTAGGAAACCAAGTTTGTTTTCCTGGCACTGTAGTGGTTCTTTCCTGGCACTGCAGGACCCTCTAGTACCCTTTTCCCTCCCACCCCCATTACAAGTTGCTGAAGGGTTTAAAACACTTCAGTCTAAAAGCATGGTTCCCATGATTCTCTGGCTATCTATGTAATTCAATGAATCATGGAGTTGTAATTCAGCAACATCTGGAGGGGGGCAGAGTTTGACAAACCCTGATTTAAGGGGTTATTTGAAAGTTTTGATTTGGAGATGATAACCAAAACATAGCTGGCCCGTACGGGGATCGAACCCGCGACCTTGGCGTTATTAGCACCACGCTCTAACCAACTGAGCTAACCGGCCACAGTAGTCATGTTCTGTCTACAAGAGCCAACTGAATGGGCCCTCTAGAAGTGCTCAATCCCTGTTAGAGAAAGAAGCCTGCATACCCAACAAGCCACTGTCGCTGTAGATACCGGGTAGCGCAGTATCAATGGGAAGCTGTAACTAAAATTTCCACTTGAATACAGTGATCTGCATAGAGTTTAAGATGGAGTGGGAAAAAAAAAAGGATAGAAAATTGACTTCTGGGAGCATATAAAGTATAACTATGTATTGAAACGTCCTGTCTGCATTCCTTGTGCTCTTTATGGTTATAGAAACATAGAATGTGACGGCAGTTAAGAACCATTCGGCCCATCTAGTCTGTCCAATTTTTAAAAATACTTTCATTAGTCCCTGGCTTTATAAGAACCATTCGGCCCATCTAGTCTGCCCAATTTTTTAAATACTTTCATTAGTCCCTGGCCTTAGGATAGCCTTATGCCTATCCCACGCATGCTTAAACTCCTTTACTGTGTTAACCTCTACCACTTCAGCTGGAAGGATATTCCATGCATCCACTACCCTCTCAGTAAAGTTATACTTCCTGATATTTTTTTTAAACCTTTGCCTCTCTAATTTACGTCTATGTCCTCCTGTTGTGGTAGTTTTTCTTCTTATAAATATAGTCTCTTCCATTACTGTGTTGATTCCCTTTCAGTACTTTGGGTATAGATGTTGTCTTATGTAGTATGACAATACAGAATTTACATGAGCCAATAAATGGGTAACTAAAGTAATGCATGTTAGTAATCTCATACTGTATAGTTTCCACATATTTTATATTAAAGGACCACTATAGTGCCAGGAAAACATACTCGTTTTCCTGGCACGATAGTGCCCTGAGGGTCCCCCTCCCGCCGGGCTCTGGGGAGAGGAAGGGGTTAAAATCTTACCTTTCTCCAGCGCCGGGCGGGGAGCTCTCCTCCTCTTCTCCTCCTTCATAGCGACGTCATCGGCTGAATGCGCATGCGCGGCATAAGCCGAGCACGCATTCAGCCAGTTCATAGGAAATCATTTACAATGCTTTCCTATGGACGCTGGCGTCTTCTCACTGTAATTTTCACAGTGAGAAACACGCAAGCGCCTCTAGCGGCTGTCAATGAGACAGCCACTAGAGGCTCTAGAGGCTGGATTAACCCCAATATAAACATAGCAGTTTCTCTGAAACTGCTATGTTTATAAAAAATAAAAAAAAAAATAGGTTAACCCTTTCTGGACCAGGCACCCAGACCACTGCATTAAGCTGAAGTGGTCTGGGTGCCTATAGTGGTCCTTTAAGTTCTAAGGCTATAAGGAATTCCTATGTGGATTGAATTTGCTGTTAATACTGCGATTGAAGGTGCTTCGTGTCTTTCAATTTACTGTTAAATCACATTTTGCATCTTTCCCTGGTGGTCTAGTGGTTAGGATTCGGCGCTCTCACCGCCGCGGCCCGGGTTCGATTCCCGGTCAGGGAATAGTAGTTTTCAATAACTAATTGATGAGTTTTTTTCCATGACATCACTCTCACAACTAGCAGGAAAGTCCTATTATATGACTTCCGAAAAGAGAGGAAACATTATATATAGCATATATTTTTGTTGTCTTAACAGAATACCACGTAACATACAGAGAAGAACAAGGCCCACTTGAAAAAAATGCTAATAGCACGCAAATAAAAATAAAAGTTAAAGCAAAAAACATTAGTGAAGAGAATGGCTAACTATTTGTTGAATAATGGCTGTTAAGTGAGCCATACACACATTGTTTTTGATGTTTAGAGACACTTTTGCTTTGGAGTAGGAGTGCAAATACCTAGCCAGATTTACACAAATAATTCTTTCGGCCATTATAACAACCATTACATACATTTGTTTTTTAAAACGATTTTTTTTTTTTTAAACAATTTTATAGCCTGACATTGGCCAGATTTCATAAAATCTGCTCCTTCCCACAGAAATCTTGAGTAAAAGGTGAGAAACCAGAGTATGTTAGTGTAACCGACCCTGGGTAACCCGGCTGGTTACCTCCGCTATTAATTATTGACCAGACCCATTTTCCACCAGTAACTGGACGACACACAGTTCCCGGGGTACAACAACAAGCTTTATTGGCCACACTCGGCTTTATACTCTCCCCATGCAAGGGGGTGGAAAACAGGTAAAAGACAATGTCCCCTCCCTTTGTCCTCTCCCTCCCAGGGGTCGTATATTGGATCCGGATCCCTAGTCCCTTTGTCCCCTGTTCCCGCCACTTCATGTCCCTTCCCAAGGGCCAGTGCGTGTGACGTGAACTCCTGTCCCTTTGTCCCCGGTTCCCGCCACCCAAATACAGGGTTTCCCACTTCCAATGGCAGGGGGGTGTTCTACCCAGGATTCTCTGTACCTGGGAGAAACAGCACAGGAAAGATTTCCACCTCCTGGGCTCCCAGGTACAGAAAGCCTGCCAAACCGCCATTGTCCCCACAGGGCGTCCCCATCAATCTCAGGGACCACCAGAATGGTAACCAGCACGAACAGCCTCTGTTCGCGGGGTACCTGGGTGAAACCAAGCAAGGGAAGCGTCTCCTATCCGGATACGAATGGCGGCCACCCAGGGAAGCACTCATTAATTACTTTCCTTGCGGTTTCACACTTATATTGCAAGTTGACAACATTCTAATTGATTGGTGTGAACACTCCAAGGGTCGCTGGGGAGGTCCTCTTTTGGGAGCCGAACGAGGTGAGAACCAATCTGCGAATGCTCCCCCTGGATGGCGTTCGTCTAACGAACGGGTTGCCACACGACGACGCTTCCCTTGCAGTTTGTGGTTTTCACAACTCGTTAGCGAGGTGTGAACATTCTAAATAAACATTCTAAATGGGCTATTGGGGTGGTCCCCGTTCGGGAGACGAACGGGCTGCGTTCGTACGCGGTCTCCCAAACGGGGAGAAGGTAAAACACACAATTAATTCACGGATACATGGGGAACATAGGCAAATACGCTACCACACTTTACGGTTTCGTCGTGATCCCGCTAAACAGGTCCCCCCTTAACCACTAGTCGCCATCCACAGGTGGATCCCAGCGGATCAACCTGTTGATGTCCGGGGAAAGCACCCACGGATCACTTGTCCAGGGCGATTTTCCTGGACAGGTCGTCGAAATTGCCATTCTGCTTTCCGGGTGTGTAGGTGATGGTAATGTCATATGGCTGCAGGGCCAGGCTCCACCGTAAAAGCCTGGCATTGTCCCCAAAGACCTGGTTAAGCCACACCAACGGGTTGCGATCCGTGAGCAGGGTAAATTGCTGTCCATACAAGTACGGCAGCAGTTTTGTGAGTGCCCACACCAATGCCAGGCACTTCTTCTCGATGGCGGCGTAGCTTACCTCCCTGCGTAAGAGCTTCCTGCTGAGGTAACCGCCATCGTCCCCGACCTGGCTCAGTACTGCTCCCAGTCCGAACATAGAGGCATCTGTGTGGACGAGAAACCTTTTCCTGGGATAAAGGCAGCCAGCACAGGGGCTTTTACCAGGGTGTCCTTGAGAGCTTGGAATGCCTGCTCTCACTCTAGGGTCCAAGCTACCTGTTGGGGCAGGTTCTTGCGGGTCAGGTTGGTGAGGGGTTTAGCAATGGCGCTATAATTGGGGACAAATTTCCTGTAGTACCTCGCAGTCCCTAGGAAGGCAAGCACTTGGGTTTTGGTGCGGGAACTGGGCCAGCTAGCGAATGCCTCTATCTTGGCCGGTTCCGGTTTCTGCACCCCACCCGGTGTCCTAGATACTGCACCTCTGCCATCCCGAGGTGACACTTACTTTGGTACAGATCTGTTCTAAAATTTTTAATTGAAACTGCTTACTGATCAGTACAAAATTGTTTCCACAGTCCTGTTTTCTGTCCTTATCTTATGATGAATAACAATAATTACACTGAATAACATATTGGGAAGAATAGTTGCTGTTATAGAATGCGACTGTGTGTATGGGAGCAGTGTGGGAGTTTTGGGACAATCCTGCAAACTGAAAGCTGTGACTCATTGGCTAGTGGGCGTGTCGTATGCAAAATAAGCCATTGTTATTTCACACCAACAATCTTGTCAATTTTATTTAAAAGCATTGAAATTATATGAAACTTCAGGAATTGTTTTTAAAAAATGTTGTTTGATAATATTGTTTATATTTGTGTAAATGTGAAATGTACAGAATGTCACCACATGTGCAAAAGAAACCTTTTGCAGCCGGTTATTTGCTTGGAGTAGCTGTTCCTCAAGACTATACTTTCAGGGATCATTTCTATAGTTTGTAACTGGTGAAATGTGCTCTAAAGTGTCCAAACTCAGTACCCACGAGGAAGAGCTTGAGTGTTTTCTCCTGAGCGTGAAGTGGGCTCCCAGTGCTGCTTTATTGTAGCTGCTGGTTGCTGTTGATGACCGTTCCTTTCTCCTTAATTGGAGAGTAGGAGGGAGAGAACACAAGCTGAGTGGTTACTACAATCTGTGTTAATGAATAGTTAATGTAAATAATCATCCTCAATAGATATTGTTGCAACTATGTTAACAAAGAAATCTGCTCAGCAACTACTATGTTATAATGTGTATTGAAATTGTCACATTTGCTGTCTATGTTTTAATTTGTTTGTGTGTCATCTGGTGGCTTTTTTTCTGTCGTGTGTAATCATGTGCCATCTGTTGGACGGAAAGTGTATGTTCTGCTATCTGTAATCGATTCGTATTTATGTCATCTGGTGGTAGCTGTATGTATTGCATTCCATTTAAAACATTGTCAGATTTCTTACTAAATGTAGACACACTGAAAAGGTTTGTCTGCTTTCAAACAACCAGAGGGGGGAGGGAGAGTACTTATTATCTATATTAAATACTAATTTTAATTCTGGTTTAGTGAGTATTACAGAGTCAATTTCAATCCCCTGTGTCCCCCGGTGCATTGGATCAAACTCTCACAACTGGGGTGAATTAACCCGTTCACTTCCAAATTCTTTCAAGAATCTAGATTTGGCAGAAATTAAAGTTTGGTACCGATCTGTTCTAAAATGTTCTATTTAAACTATATTTGCTGTCATTTCCATAGGCTGTTATCACACTCTGAATTTCCTGTGTTACAGCACAGAGTGGGTGCCGTACAATGTAACATAGTCTATAAACAGTACTGCAGCATTTGTAATAGGGATAGGAAGCTGCTAGACCAGGTAGGTACAAGGTGGCTCTAAGGTACTCTCTAAACTAAAGGTTTAGACAGTAAGAGTATCCCTGCTTTCTCACTTTATAAATGGACTTCTTTCAAGAGAAATCAGTTCTTAATTGGGACACTGAAGGCACTTTAACAACTTCATCTTATGTAAGTTGTTATAGTGCCTGCAGTCCTAATTGCCAAAACCTAATATTAAACGATTAATAGCTTCAAGCCACGACTCCAAGCCCTCTGGGTATGAGAGCCGGGAATCTTACTTAACCCCTTAAGGACCAAACGTCTGGAATGAAAGGGAATCATGACATGTCACACATGTCATGTGTCCTTAAGGGGTTAAAGGATTTTTCCTGGCACTATAGCTTCCCCTCCCTTGCACCTCCCCGTAGTGCAGAAAGGGTTAAAAACCAAACAAACTTATTTTGCCTACCCCAGTCCTTTGTCACTTCATCAGATAGGAAGCTAAGAGAAGTATCCGATTTACAATTTGTCTCTAATTCAGTCTCGCCTATTCACAGTGTAATTACCATACTGCCTCCCAGAATGCACAGCACAGACCCAGCATGTACACATGTCTCTCCACAACACAAATGAGAGTTTTATGAATGTTGACTGTGCATTTTATTTAGCTGAGTTAGCTTTGCGCAGTGGCAGTATCGTAGCCAATGAGGTTAATCCGAGGCGTGATTATTGCTAATTGAAAACTTTTACCAATACCCCGCCATGATGACTTGAAATATAGTCAGCAATGGCAATTTTTGACAGTCTCTAAGGAGACTGAGATTGCTTGTACAAAGATAAAAACTATTTTCATGAACTAGTTTTTGACACGATTTTGTTTTTACTTTATTTAATCCAAGTTTCACTCAAAACTAAAAAAAAAAAAAATGTTTTGGTTTAAGATATAAATTTTCATATAATGCAAGAAACTAAGGGTTTTTCCTTTTAGAATATTACTTCACTTTGTCTCTAAACATCTGTTGTGTTATTCCTGATTTGCAGTCCCCTGTCTACAGAACTTAATGGTACTCGCTGATACCCAAAAAACTGAAGCCTGCCAGTTTGTCACACTGATTCCAGGTTAGAAAATATGCTGGGAAATGTAGTATATTTTGAATGTACCAGTGTTAGGAGAGTAATGCATGCAGGGATGTGTAGTTCACCATGTTAGTGCACAGATTTAAAAAAAGAAAAGAAAAAGGAGAGCATGCAAGTAGATGTAGTTTATTCGGCATGTGCCCTGATTCCAGGACAGTAAAGCATGCTGGGAGATTTTTACTATTGCTACTAGTGCTCTGTAACACTTTACAATTTTAACATATTGGACATAAAATAATCTCCAGATTAAATTCTGAGAAATATGTGACATTTCTATTTAATGACTCTATTTTGTCTCTGGAAATTGAACTTACTGGTAGGATTATATGGATGAACAAATGACACTGTAAAGCAATACTGTAATATTTAGTCACGCATGTACATTTTATTTTGTTACCCTAGAATTTAGTTGGGAACATTACCATTGAAACTGATTCCATTGTTTAGATTGCTATTTCAATCTGATTTTATACATGCGTTATGTAGCCTGATACGTGTCAGGCCTCAAAAAATTGAGTGAAACTCATGGTCGTTCCTCTCCACGGAAATCTTTAGTAAAAGGCGAAAGATTTATTCGGTCTGAAGAGAAACCAGAGTATGATAGACGTAGATCTCAGTAGCAGATCGGGTTCAGAAATATCCTCTTAAGCATATAGAGAAATCCTTAGTTAAGACGTAGCTTGGAGAATCCGGCATAATTAATTATTAAATAAACTTGCACACAACATAATATGTATGAAAAGATTAGCATTATTTTACTACATAGATGAAAATGGCCATTATTTTTTTGCAAAGCATTGTGGGTATGTAAATTAGGCACGCCCCCAGCTGACATGGTGTTAAACACATGCTTTCTCTAACTGTTGAGTCTGTCTGTTTGTCACACCGATTCCAGGATGAGAAAAAATGCTCGGTGTGTTTTGAGTGTACCAGGAAGCGGTGCATGCTGGGATGTGTAGTTCATCATGTTAGTGCACAGAGTTCAAGAAGCAAGAGCATGCAGGGAGATGTAGTTATTCTACGTATGCAAATATTCAAAGAGAGGAGAGCATGCTGGTAGATGCTTTAAGATTTATTGTGAATTTCAATTTAGTGAGTAAAAATAATTGCCATTATTGAAGGTAATTGACGTGTGGTTTTATATAATGCATATTTTAATGTTTTACTTGTGTGGGTTCACGGACAAATTTTGGACACAGAAGTATCTCCAGAGCAAATACTGAAAATATATGGAATTCTTTTTTAATGACTTTACCTTGTCTCTGGCAATTATTGACAGTGTCTTTGGAAACTGAAATTATAGGTGCGATCGCACGGATGAAAGAACGATGCAATTAAAGAAATATTTAGATTTGATTTATTTTGCTTTGATAATGTAACTGTTTCAATAAGATGCTTTGTCTAACTCGTTAATTAAATCTGACATTTTACCATTTAATGTAGCCTGACATTACTCAGGCCTCAAAAAATTGAGTGAAACTCATGGTTGTTCCTCTCCACGGAAATCTTTAGTAAAAGGCGAAAGATTTATTCGGTCTGAAGAGAAACCAGAGTATACCAAATGACTACCTGAGTGGCAAAGCGGGTTCACAAATGTCCTCTTAAGCATATAGAGAGAATCCTTAAGCATGTAGAGTGAATGTAGCGTGGAGAATCCGGTATAATTAATCATTAAATGAACACACATCATAATATGTGTTAAAAGCGTATCATTATTTTAACAAGTACATCAAAATGGCCATTATTTTTTGCAATGCAATATGGGTATGTAAATTAGGCCCGCCCCCACCTCTCAAAGCAATTGCATGCTTTGTCTAACTGTTGAGCCCTGCAGCTGTTAACCATGTGAGTGCTGGGGTTGCACTTTGTCTAAACCCTCCAAACTACATTTACTGTTTATAACTAGGAATCTAATAATTATTATTATTATTATTATTGCCATTTATATAGCGCCAACAGATTCTGTAGTGCTTTACAATATGATAAGAGGGGGCATTTACCTATAAATAAGACTATTACAAGAAAACTTACAAGAACGATAGGTTGAAGAGGACCCTGCTCAAACAAGCTTACAGTCTATAGGAGGTGGGGTGTAAAACACAATAGGACATTTTAGTTTATCTACTGTTGGGCCATTTGCAAATACTGACATTTAACTACTAACACAATTTGCATAATCCTTGTTACTAGAACTGGACAAACTGGAAGGGGGCTTTCTGGTGTATCTCCCGAACCAGGAGGCTCTTAGACTTTACTTTAACGTTTGACACCAGCCTTCGGAGTTGGGGATACCTATACCTTACTCTGGCTTTCTCCTATAGGGTTTTCTCAATCCCTCTTTATATGGTTGGGCATAGGGTTATTTATTGAACCTAATCTTGCACTACTTGATTATTGGGCTCAGAGCATGGAGGGAACATGTGCCGGTTGACAAATACGTAGGGAGTAGATATTTGGCTAATTGTTAGACTATAATAGGGACCAATCGGCACCTTCCCTGTTTCCCAAGATTGATATATTTTTTTGACTCCTAGATTCATACTATAGCCTGGGAAATCACTCTACATGAAAATAGGAAACTATAATATCTTGTAGAATTTCAGTTTTTAGTGGTGGATTAGCAACATTGTATCCACATATTAGTAATCGGATTCTTTTTGGATAGTTCACTTATCCTTTCATGTTTCTATTAGAAGGGGCCCGCCATCCTCCATAAACGTACCTCTTTGGCCAACTTTGTGCGAACCACCTCTGGAAAAGTTCAGATTGTGCAAGGACAAATGCGTGACAGTGAGAGGAAACACTAAAACCATTGGCCCAAAAATCCCTGAAGAGTCGCCCAAGCCGGCGAAACGCACGTCGGGGCTCGCTCGCACTCTCGGACTGCCATATGTGAACATAATTTGACTCACGATCCATAGAGGGCTGACAGGAAGGATTTCCCTTCACCTTACCAGGCTAGATTCAGTGTTATGTGCACTCTATGCATGTATCCAGCATAGATAGTAATAGCATATTACCAACGATCTTACTATAGAATTCTATGCACTTTAAGTGTATTATTCTACTCAGGTGCCCTTGAAGGCACAGATTAGGGTTTTTCAGTCCAACTCCTCCCAGACGGCAACTATCTATATAGAACCTTATGCTGAGCAAGCTGACAACTTGTTCATTGTCTCTGCC